TTTACTTACCTTAGATATGAGCAACCCAAACACTTTAGTCTTCCTTTGATACAGCTCTCTTTCTCTTAAATCCTATGAACATAAATTATAAGAATTCAACACTTTAAAAAATTAATCTCACATCTTAGTGCAAGAATCTTATCTAGGGATGCTTACGATTGAAATTCCACCAAAAATGAACCAAACTCTATGACTTTCCTTGGAAATTGATTGAAGAAATTTGAGAGAATTTGGGTGGAGAGTGGCGTGAATGGAAGGAAAAGTGGCTAGGATCTCATTCTTGCATCCTTAATATAACATAATAATACTGCTAGATTCCCATTTTACCCTTGCACTTTCTATAAAATTCCATCTATGTCCTTTAGTCAATTACAATAATGTCCTCACTTCCATTGCATTCTCCATGTAATTCTACTTCTTTTCACTCCCCACACTTTCAACTAATTATGAGTGGAATGACCATTTTGCCCTTAAGCAAGTTTTCCAGAATTTTCTCAAACATTCCAGAGAGTTCTTTGCCCTGGAGAAGTTTGTATTTTTTGCCATGAATTTGGGCAAAAAGTTCATTGCCGCGGCGAAGAGTGAAAATGCCAACTTCAATGCTTTCACCTTGGAATGAGTAATACAAAGGGCATTAAAACATAAAGAGAGATACATACCTCGATGTGGGTGTTACATCACTTGCGCACGGCTGGCCATATTCGATCGGTTGTACGCCATTATGGCAACTTTTGGTAGCCTCCGGCGGCGGCTGGCAGTGGTGGCCAAATCTGGGTACAACAAAATTTCGTGGCATTTCTATAAATAATGACAATAACAAGGGCAATGTCATCCGGAAAATTTAAAAAGTGAGGACAAAAGGGTCTGCATGAGTGAATTAGATGTTTTGTAAATATTAACAAATATAAGATTAATTTGGACTAAATGCTCAACTGTTTAGGGGCAACAGGGGACACAAAATTAGATTACCTGGGAAAAGTTTTAATAACTAGGGAAGCTAAGGGTATTTCTTAGTAAGGGTTTTTTGTTAGGCGACGGTGAAGATGTTTTCAATCTGGTGTTTATTCTGTGTGCACAATTATTTAGTTCTTTTGGAAGAAATAAGGCAAAAATAATCCATTACAAATTGAAAAGCAAGGAATGCAACCTGGATTGTAAGTGACACAAACAAAATCTGTAAAAAGTTAATATCATCAAGTGTACACTGAGTATAGAGGATTTATAAATTCATTTGCATAAGTTGAATTGCAAGATTGTGTTAGACAGTGCTAATCCAGGTGATTGATATTTTTGGTTATTTCCATCAGGTTCAGTCTACCAATTGGCAGATGAATGCAGAAATATCCATAATTTGGACATCAAGGGTATGTTTGTTTTAGTATTTTGGATAGTATTTTTGCAAAAATAAGAGTTGGGTGATAATAACGAGGTAACATTTAAAAATTATAAAAACACCCCCTAGGTTTGTTAATTTACTAAACACCCCTGTAATAAAAACATTAAAAATTATAAAAACACCCCCACCCACCCATTAAATACCGGTACCCGACCACCACCGTCGGAGGATGGCCAGCTTGATCTAGCCGGTTGTACGCCGAGATGGCATTTTCTAACCAGATTTACCGTGGATTTGATCGGAAAAGACCATATCTACTGCTAGATCTGGCTGCGTTTGGTCGTCAACGACGGCCAAAGATATGGCCATCATTGATGGTCAATGATAGCCATATCTTGCCATCGTTGACGACTAGTTACGACCAAATATTTGGTCTTTTTTTGCCAGATCCACGTTGGATTTGGTCGAAAAAGGCTATATTGGTGTAGTATTGGCTAGATCCAATCGGTAGTGTATCATTATACCAGATTTTGACCACCATCCGACGGTAGTGGCCAGAATCTGGCAAATATAGGTGGATAGGGGTGTTTTTATTAATTTTTAAATTTTTTTTAAAGTGTTTAGTTAAATTAACAAATTTAGAGGTTTAAAAATAATAAAATAAAATAAAATAGAATTTTCAGAATAGAAAAATAAGTGGGTACTTTTAGAATTATAAGAATAAGGTAGTGTAAAAATATTAAAGCGCACGGAGATATTTCTTGCAAAACGTTATTGACAAATGTTGACACTTGTTACGAATTTTACCAAATAAAAAAAATGAAAGGTAATGAGATGTCCTGAAAAAGAANTGCGCAAAGTATGAATGAGACGTCCAAAAAGAGATCCTCTAATTTGGGTGAAAATTCAACTTATATATTGTTATAATAGCAAACTTGTAAATAAAGTTAACTTTAAGGGGGCATTTGGATCATATAATGTTTTATTATAGGGGGATATAACATTAAGGGAAAGATAGATCACCTTGAAGATTACTAAGAATGTTTAGGAAATGTGTTTGGTTGGTTTGAATAAATTGGTGACTAATATGTTTTGTTGGGAAGATAAATGGGTGGGTATGTAATATAGATTACTAAATTGCCCTCATTTTTAAATATTAATATAATATTATTATTTTTATTATTTTTTGAATAATTCTTTTAACCCCATACTTTTCAGATTTAGCAAAAACACCCGAGCAACCAAAAATGTTTTAAACTTAACAAAAACACCCACCCCAAGCCATTGCCGACAGCTAGCTACCATTACCGACAATGCCATAGATCTGGCTGTTTCACGGCCAAAGACCTGACCGTTTCCGACCATGGATCTGTGATCCATAGTTGGACAAGGCCCCACCAGCGCACGACTAGCCATATCCGACTGGTTGTATGCCATTATGACAACTGTCGGTAGCCTCCAGCGGCGGTCGACAGCAATTGGCAATGGTGGCCAGATCTGGGTACAACAACATTTCGTGACATTTCTATAAATAATGATAGCCATATCTTGGCCGTTTGCGCCATTATACCAGATTCCGACCACCTTCTGATGGTGGTGGTTGGAATCTGACAAATGTGGGTGGGTGGGGGTATTTTTATTAATTTTTAAACTTTTTTTTGGAGGTGTTTAGTTAAATTAATAAATTTAGGGGTTTAAAAGTAATAAAATAAAATAAAATAGAATTTTTAAATATGTATTTTCATAATTATAGAAATAAGATAGTGTAAAAATATTAAAACAAAGGCAGATATTTCTTGCAAAACGTTATTGACAAAATGTTGACACTTGTTACAAATTTACCAAATAAAAAAATGAAAGGTAATGAGATGTCCTGAAAAAGAAGAAAAGTGGTAATTATGGGTAGAAACATGCTTTTAATTAAAGTGCTTTTAGAAAGCTAAAAAGAAGAAGAAGAAAGTTTGGACAGATAGATAAATGAGCTGAGCTGAAACTGAAATTGATTTGGTCTTTTGAAATTGGATTTTCTTTTGTTGTTGACATGACAATTCCTTTTCTCTTCTTGCCACCTCCCACACGCCACAACAAATGCCCATTTTGTTTTTCTTTTCGACATTCAATATTTGTATTTCTATATTACTTGCAGATTTTCCATGATCAAGTTTTTATTTTTCAAACTATAAGACGCAATATCTCACTCTTTTATGTAATATGCAATTCATATTATGTTTTGACTTTAGAAATGATACTAATTTTAGTACTTATTCTAATGAATATGTAATTCATATCAATTTAGTTTTTTGACTTAAAATAGTGATACAAATTTTTATTGTTAACTGTCTCTAGGTAATTGAGTGGTTCAATAGAGACTTTTGGATGTATTACTTAAGAAATTATGACTTCAAGTCCTTCTTTAGGTGTTAATAGAAGTAGCCACTGAAACTTTTATCCAATCGATAATTTTAAGGTCTCTAAAGATTAGTTAAGGTGCATATATGTTGGCCCAATCATCCCGACAAAAAATATTGAGATAAGCAAAAGAATTTGATTTGTTACGTTTAGTTCCAAAATATAAATGTGTTTGTTTGTGGGGTCTTTTAAAAGCTAAAAGATAAGGAGAGGAGACATCATATATGAGTTTTGATTTTCTGAAAGTGGGGGGAAGTTTGCAGAAATTCAAAAGTAAAATAAAGTAAAATTATGATAGTGATAGATAATATCTAATCTCATGTTGACTCAAAATCTCCAATAAAATGCTTTGCCTTCATTCATAAGTTGGAGAATGTTTGTCATGATGCATGCTAACTTGCGCATCTAACCAATGCTAAACTAAGCCCAGTAATAAAACACAAATTACACAAAGTCTAAAAAATAAAAAGTGGTACACGCGTAAAGTGTATATATATATATATATATATATATATATATATCAATGACACTTTTTTTTTTTAACATTTCCCCCCTAATATTTAAAAAGAAAAAAGAAAAATGAGTGCCGTTTTATTCTATTATTATTTATTTTATGCATATGTTAATTTTTGGTTATGTTTTGGCCTTTTTGGAATACATACTAAGATAATTTTAATTTTAATTATATTTTATAAAATAAAGAATGTAAAGCAAGTGGTTAGACATAGACAAACATTATAAGCTAACTTTATAGCATTTAAGACAAATTAAGTGCTAGCTTGTAAAGTTGTTGCCTTTTTCTCACTCTCACCAACAAACAAACAAACTTCATCAAAAAGAATTAAACATTATTAATAATAAGAAATAATAACAATTTCGTCCCTGAAGTTTGGTGTAAAACCTTTGGTCCAGTAGAGTTTTTTTGATCTGTAAAATTTTGGTTTAAATAACAATTTCATCCCGAAGGTTGGCTAGCAAGAGGGAGCAAATTGTTTGTTATAGGGACTAATACGTTACCAAAAAATTCTACTGGGCTAAAGGAGAATTACAAATAGTTTGCTAGAATGCGCTGATTGTTCTTGAACTTTGGCCTTGGATGCTTCTATTACTATACTCCATTCCTCGGTTCTCGAGCTCTGACTATGACCCTTTTCCTCTCTGTAAAGCATTAATCAACATTATGGATTAGACAGTCAGAGAACCCTTAAAATCAATTGCAACCGATCTAAAACTCATGGTAATGTTTTTAGTTTTCTTTCTCTGTTGCAGAAGATTCTTTCTTTCCCTGTTAATGTTTTGAAACTCTCAACTTAACCAAGTTTTCAAGCCTCATTTACTTTCCCAGTTTCTGTGTCAGTACCATTGTCTTCTTGTCTTCTCAAAACCCTTTTTTTTTTTTTTTTTTTTTTAAGTCTTTGTCTTTCTTTCCTTGTTTGCTTGTGAGATACCAAGGTTTTGGAGGTGGGTTCTTTTTTGTCTTCTTCACAGACTACCCCATTCACGTTAAATATCCGGGAATGGGTGAGTTGTAAGTATGAAAATATAGTTTCAGGATGTGGGGTTTTGATATTTGGGTAAAATTGAGCTGTTTTGTTGAGTAAGCTTGAGAAATTTTGTGAAGAAGTAAACAAGAAAGCAAGCTCCTTTTGAGATGTCTGTTTTCAGCTCTGAGGGTATTTGTGCGTGTTTTGGATTATTTCAAATTTAGTGTTTTTTTTTTTGTTTTTTACTTGTTTTTAGTGTGCTTTAGTGAAATAATTTTTGTATATAAGGTGTTTGGATTGTTAAGAAAGTGAAAGAATTTAGTTTAAAATCTATAAAGTTTTGATGTGGAGGTGTTTAGTTAGTGTTGGCTTGAGTAGAAACTATGGTCTTTTGAACTGAGCGTAATCTGAGAATTTGGTCTTCGTTTTGGTGTATGTATGTAAGAGTTTAAGTCTTTTATTACTTTGGCTTTTTATTGATATAGTTGAATGTTTTGGTGTAAAAATTCTGAAAATTGATCCTGCATCTTGGCTTGTATTGTGTTGTAGTTTGAAGCTGAAGTGGATGGATTGCTGAAAATTTGTTTTGGTGAGAGATGGGTTGTGCTGCATCAAGCATTGATAAGGAAGAGAGAGTGCAAATATGCAGGCAGAGAAAGAGACTAATGAAACAGTTGCTAGGGCTTAGAGGAGAATTTGCTGATTCTCAGTTGGCTTATTTGAGGTCATTAAAGAACACTGGAGTAACCCTTAGGCAATTTACTGAATCAGAGTCACTAGAGATTGAAAATCTTCCTTATGGCAGTACATTGCGGGCCTCACCACCTCCTTCATTGCCTCCTTCCCCGCCCCCACCACCTCCGTATAGTCCTGACTCGAGGAATGTTGATGATAATCTAAAAGATGAAGTTATGCACGAAGAGGGCATAGAAATCAATGAAGATGGTGGCAGTACCCCGCCACTTCCTGTTCCCCGTTCATGGGAGTACTGGGATCCTTTTCCTTATTCTTCAACTCATGAGCAGTCAAGTAAGTGTGAAACAGTGGAACAATTTGATGAGGAAACTTGGGCAGAAACTAAAACGGACTTTGAGGAAGATGATCAGGAAGAGGAAGTTATTTCTAATACAGTCACTGAGAAGCCACCGCCTGCAGAACTTGTTGCTGATAACTTAACAATGACGAGCTTGTATACTAAAGACGCAGCTGATATGGCCATGGTACCATGGAGGAGGAAGACCTTGGATGGTATCATCAAGGAGTTAGACGATTATTTCCTGAAAGCGTGGGCGGGTGGAAAGGAAATAGCTGTTCTTATGGACATCAAGCACGGTGACACTTTTCTTCCACAGAATTTCAAAGAAAACAAGAGTAAATGCTCTCTCTTTATCAACTGAGCATTTATTTGATACACACATATTGCTGAATCTTTATATTTGGATGGCAGAAACTTGAAAATGGTGAAGTTTACCAAATAAACTTACCTTTATAGTATTTAGTTTGGCATTCAATGCACTCTATTCTTAGCTAGATATTGTGACAGAATTGGTTGTTTACAGTATATGTAAAAATGTATGGATCGGGATAGCCCAAAAAACAAGAACAAAAGCTAACTAAAGACAGATGACATTAAAAAAGTCCTTAAATCCACAAAAAACGCTAATTTATCATCTTATGGTTAATGTAGTATTGTTATTGCTATTAAAACTTTAATTTAAAATTCTGTAGCAATTAGCTGTGAAAGGTTTTCTTTTGTAAAATATTTTAGGACTGAGTGATTTATTATGCTGCAATTATCCACGCTACAATAATTTTGTACTGCTTACTGTTTTTGTTGTATGTATGTGGGTGTGTATTGCAAGTCAATTGTTGAGTTTATGATGATGGACTCTTGCAGTAGTTGTCAAAGTTCCTACTGGAAGTTATCATAACCATATGTTTGGCAGGGAAGAGGAGCAATTCCCCTAAGGTCTTTAGTTCATTGTCATGGAGCTGGTCTTCCAAGTCACTTCAATTTGCACAAGGTGCTTTTGGTATGTGTGGCTCTAGTGAACCATGCGGGCCTGGAGCTCATTGCATCACTCTTTCCAAACTATATGCTGCAGAGCAGAGACTTTACAAGGATGTAAAGGTGAGAATAATATTTGACTCATTATTAGGAACATCTGAGCATGAATTATCTTAAAGTGCGCTTCTTGAAAATATGATTTTCCCCTTGGACTGAGGTTTCATTGTTGCATCTTTTGATTTCATTAACTTAATGAGAAAACTGGCTTGCACTCCCCACCTTTCCGTCGAACATACTAATAGCAAGAGCTAAAAATTTTGTGTTGATGCCTTGATCTTTTGCTTGAAATTGTTTAGAGTGAGTCTGCCAATATCTGATATTCAAAGAAACGCTGGTTTAGCTTTTGTTCGGACCTTTGGTTCAATTTTTTAATCCTGCTTTCTTATCTCTTAAATAAAGTTTTCTTTGGTTTCCCACTAAGGGTTGGTTTGGTAGTGTAAATGATGGATACACGTTCAATTGTGCTTCATTTTCTGTTTCATTCTACTTGACCATCATATTATGTAGGAGGAAGAAATCACTAAATTAGAGCATGAAAAGAAATCCATGTTATTACAAAAACAAGAAGATGAAAACTACAACTGGATCAAGACTGAGAAAACTCGAGTGTGCGTTGAGAATTTGGGGACTGAAATAAGACGCCTGCAACATTCAGTAAGTGAGACGCGTTCATCAATATTGCAGATCATTGAAGAAGAGCTGTATCCTCAGCTGGTTGCGCTAATTTCAGGGTAACATTTGTAACACACTGATATCTATCATACTCTTGGTCAACTGGGATTGGCAATACATTGACATAGGGATGGATGCATTTATAGAACCCGCTACTTTAGTAATGGGTGCAATTTATTTTTATTTTTCTTTATAAAACTTTAGTAATGGGTACAATATTTTAATTTTAATTTAATATTTTTATACTTTTATCTAAATATATATTAGTTATTGTAATTGAAAGTTCTTTCAAATAATTAATAATCAGCAGGTACTTGGTAGTTTGAAAACCATATAACATTAAGTTCATTCCAAATTCATTTGTGTGAAATCATGAATAGTTTGGCTAATGACTTCCCTGCCTCCCAAAGAAATGGCTAACGATAAAGAAGTTTTGAATCACAGCATTGCAGCATTTAGATAAAAGAAGCATGCCAAAAGACCATTCATGTACTCACTAGGTATATCTCCACTGATATGCCAGTTTCGAGGTTAAACTCCCAAAAGGCTTTAGCTATTCTTTGACATTGGTGAAAGCTTAGTGTCTTTGACGTTGGCATGAACATCTTTTGTTTCTTTCAGAAAAGGAAAATCATTTATAATGGATATCTTGGTTGAAACGTTACAGACTGATGCATATGTGGAGAACGATGTATGAATGTCATCAAGCTCAGAAACGTATCTCTCAGCGATTAAGTCATTTAAATGATAATCAAAACAAGGACTTTACTACTGACTCCCATCTACAAGCCACAGCTCAGCTTGAAACGGAGGTCACTGCCTGGTACATCAGTTTCTGCAAACTTACGAAATCTCAACGAGAGTATGTGAGAACCCTGTGTAGGTGGATCCAACTCACTGCTTGCCTTGTGGATGATCAGCGGAGTTGTAACTCTTCTGCAATTCGTCGGCTCTGTGAAGATTGGCAACTTGTTTTTGACAAATTACCTGATAAGGTACTTTCTCGAGGACATTCTTTTGTTATTATTTTGTCACAAGTGTCGCTGCTTCTTCTTTCCATGGAAGTGATTTTGACAGCAATGAAAGGTATTTTTCTCGTAAAAGAGGGATAGAGAGAAATGGTACAGTTTTAAGATCTCTTGAGATAACGAGAAATGTAGGACGCAAATGTAGGACGCATTTTTAATTTTAATATGGAGCTGTTCCATCTTTCCATGTAGGAGTCTTCTACAAACCGTTACACGATTGTCTCATAAAATTTATGCTGTAAACATTATTTCTGTCTAAGATCTATATCTTATAATAACTGTAACTTTCATTTCAAAATTTTGGTGCACTCATCCTTGTAATCTCTAGTTTTCTCTGTTGGTACTGACTTGGGGTCGTAATTTTGTTGTATGATGTGCGTATAGGTGACCTCAGAAGCCATTAAGAGCTTTTTATCAGCCATCCAATTGATTTTCCGACAGCAGCTGGAAGAACGCAGTCTGCACAAAAAGTCTGATAGACTTGAGAAAAGGCTTCAGAAGGAGTTGAACTCTCTTGAGGAGATGGAGAAAAAGCTAGAAGGGAGCTTACCTGATGGAGTTGACCCCTCCAGTTTGAGCCCCAAGCATCCTTTCTCCCTCAAGAGTGCCAAAATTGAAGCTTTAAGGAAGCGAGTTCACACTGAAAAGACCAAATATCTGAACTCAGTCCAGGTTACCAAGGACATGATTACGAATAACCTGAAAACAAGCCTACCCTTTGTATTTGAGGCATTGATGGGATTCTCAAAGGATTCTGGTCGGGCATTTGAGGCCATTCACAGCCGCATCAATCAAGCAACTTGTTCGGATGCATCGGAAACCTCAACAATCTAAACTTGTTTGAATCACAAATGAAGCAGGTACAAAATTATCCAATCAATTAAAATTATGTTGCTTAAATTATCGGTGGCATTGGAGGATGTTGATCAAACTACAACAAAGTTTTGTTTATATTAGAAGATATTGGTCTGTTGATAGTATTAGAAGAATGATTTCGTGCTAATAGGAATATCTTTTGTTATGACCCTTCTCCCCTCCCACAAGCATGTGATTTTATCATTTTAGTTGATACCAAAAGGTGAGAATGTTAGCCCTCTTCCTCCCCCATTTAACTAAACAAATAGAGGAAAATATTGCTACAACCAAAAGCCTTATAGCATGGTCTAAAAAGCTACATTACAAAATTGAGAATAAGGATATGATTGTAAGAAGTTTTACTCTCAATATTTTGTTGATCATTACAATGCAAAGCCACATTCCAAGATAATGGGCATGACTAGCTAGTTTCTATGATTACAATTGCACAATTTAATTACTCTATACAATTGGACGTTTTATTCAATAGCATGGTTTAAAGCCAACTTGAATACCAGAAATTGGCAATGATACTTAACTTTCAATATTGTCCCAATCTAGAGGACTTTCTTCAAAATCATCCTCAAATTCTTGAAGCCTGTATTGACCCAACCTGCCCATCATAGCAAGACCTGAAAAAAGAAAAAAGAAAAATTTAATCAGGAGTANCACATTCCAAGATAATGGGCATGACTAGCTAGTTTCTATGATTACAATTGCACAATTTAATTACTCTATACAATTGGACGTTTTATTCAATAGCATGGTGTAAAGCCAACTTGAATACCAGAAATTGGCAATGATACTTAACTTTCAATATTGTCCCAATCTAGAGGACTTTCTTCAAAATCATCCTCAAATTCTTGAAGCCTGTATTGACCCAACCTGCCCATCATAGCAAGACCTGAAAAAAGAAAAAAGAAAAATTTAATCAGGAATAGCAGCCTAAAATAAAATTTATCAACCAAGTTCAACATTTCGCCAAAAGAATCTAATGGTATTAAGATTGTGCAAGTTTTCTGTTAGGATCTTACATTGGAAGAGAAAAAAGTGGACGTGTGGGTTATAAGGGCATGGACACCCTCTCTGAGTAAGCCGATTTTCCAAGAAGAGTTTTACCCAAACCCATGAAAAACTCATGGCTCAACTTAATTGTTTGAGTTGTTGGGGTGGAGTCCTATCAAATAGTATCAGAGTATGATCTTGCGCCCACGGAACGTAGCCTAAGTGGCAGGTTGACCTTAGCCTTGGGCTGCTACCTCGAGAAAGGGCATGGAAGCCTGAGGGAAAGGTGATCCGCATAGTCACCTACGGGGTAAAGAGGCCGAGGTGGATGTTGGTTGCGAAAGCATGGTGGAATGTTAGGATCCCACATTAGAAGGGAAAAGGGTGGACGTATGGGTTATAAGGGCTTGGGCACCCTCCATTGGCAAACGGGTTTTCCAAAGAGAGTTTTACCTAAGTCTACGAAAGACCCATGACCCAGGGCAATTGTTCGAATTGTTGGGGTGGGTTCTTATCATTTTCATGTTAGCTTATTATGGATTAAGTTGTGTGCTTGCAAGAGTATTGTGTACCTTCAACTATTCTATAGAGAGCTGACCACCATCCTTCTCTGGAAACTTGGTACTGCTGTAGAGACTCATCTATATCTTTATCATGCTTTCCTCCTATAACGCCTTGCAGTGTTATAACTGCATCTTTCGTTTTCTTGAGGATATCATTCTCGTCCGCGATATCCAGCCTTTGAAGGTCATTTTGAGAAGAAGTGAGACTAACAGCTAGAGCAAATTGTGCAGCAGCCGCCCAGCGAGAACAGGCCAGCCATCTCCTCTGCCCATCTTGCCTCTTGCTCACTTCTCTGCCTAACTTGTTTTCAAATACTATGCTTCGTAAATACTGAGCATTTGCCGGCCCTGTACTTTGAACCATCCTTGCAAATGCACTTTCCTCTGTTAATAGCAGCGCCGCTGGCGTATCATGCTCTAGAACCTGAAGGATAGGTCGCAAGTTCTTAACTAATGAATGAACACAAAACTAAATTAAACTCACACAATGATTTGTTATCTGAAATATGCCTCCAGGGATATACCTGGCCAGCATCGAGCACAAGTATGCGGTCACAGTCAATTATGGTGTTTAGTCTATGAGCAATGATCAACATTGAGCATGATCTGAATTCTTCACGGATGGTTCTCTGGATAAGAGCATCCGTTAGGACATCAACAGCTGCAGTTGCTTCGTCGAGAACAAGAATCTTGGATCGCCGCAGCAACGCTCGAGCAAGACTTAAGAGTTGCCTCTGTCCAACACTGAAATTCTCTCCTCCCTCTGAAACCTGGACATAAGTGAAATTGCATCTTGGTCAGCACTTACTTTCCTCATTTAAGAGATGATAAGTTAAACATTAGCTTTGGTTTCATAATTGCAAGATAAAATTTCAGGAAGAGAATTCACGTTCATACCTCAGCATCCAGACCAAAAGAATTCTTCCTGATGACATCTTTCAGATGTGCCCTTTCTAAGGCCTCCCAAAGATCAGCATCATTGTGCTCACTGAATGGATCAAGATTAAACCGTACAGTTCCTTGTGAAACAAACATGCACACCAATTAGAATGATACAATTTATTTGAAGAAATTTTTATTGCAAAACATCACAAAAACATCGAAAATAAAAAAAATGGAGATTAAAAACAGTAAATACCTGAGAAAAGAACCGGGGATTGTGGTATGATACTAAGAACCTTCCTCAAGTCAGTCAGTCCAAACTCAGCAAAATCACAATCATCAATCATAATTCTTCCTCTTTCAATTTCCACAATTCGAAATAAAGCATTAAGCATGCTGGATTTTCCTGCACCAGTTCTTCCAACAATTCCTACTTTCTCACTTGGGGAAACAGTAAACGACAAGCCATGCAAGACCGGAGGAAGTTCAGGCCTATAACGCAGAACAACTTCCTCAAACTTCATTGATCCTGATGAAGGCCAACCGGGTGGAGGGCGGTTGCTCTCAATCACATCTGGAGCTTCAGAAGGTAAATCTATATATGTTCCAACACGCTCGACAGAATTCAAACTATTTTCAGCTCTGCTTGCTTGTCTCAATACACCACTCAACAGATTGGTGATATTTAAAGTATAACTGAGAAGTAGACCCATTGTAGAAGCATATGCAGCTTGGTTCCCTGATTTTCCATTCTGCAGGACTGCAAATGTTGCTGTCAACCAAATCATGAGGCCTCCTAATGATTCCAACCTGATGGTAAGCCAACGGTTCGAACTAGTATTTGCAAGGGTGAATCTGATGTTATTATCCATCGACTTTCCATTAATGTAGGCCATCCTATCATATGCTTTATATGCTCGAATGCTCAACAAGCCATTTAGTGCTTCTCCAAATTGCGCATAAACAGGAGATCTGGTAATGGAATCTAAGCGTTTCACTTCGCGAGATGTACTCTGTAAATAGCAAATGGAGATGGTTATTGAAAGTCATAGAGTCAAGAGCTAGTTAGAAGAAACTATAAGCGCTGGAAAGCAAATTGTTATTTAGTAAAGAATGGGAACAGATTATGTTCCCCTGACGGATACTACAGATAAGATTGAGCTTATATGCATCCTCATATATAATTAAGCATGACATATCGACCACCATCCTCTTCCAGCATTGGAAGAAACTAAGAACTTATATAGACAACTAAAAACTATTGAATAGAGTTTGGTCTTGAAGACCATCCTTTTCCAGCATTGAAATTAAGTTCTTATGAAACAAGAATATCACCCTCATAGTTCTAGACAATTCGATGAAAACACGAATTCCAGTGTCCAACATAATGATTCCTAATAAATACAGGTTATTTATGATGGTTGAGAAAGGCAAAAAAAAAAATTAAAATTAAAATTAAAAAAAAAAATAAAAAAAAAATTAGATGAGAAGATAGTAAATTTACCTGATAATATAGATAAGCTGCATAAAACAAGATGAGAAGTGGCATTATGGCCCATAGTGATATTGTGCTCACAATGCCTATCAACACAAACGTTGAAAGGAGCTGCCACACTTGTCCCACAAACATATTCACAAAATTGGCAACATTGCGATCTATATCACCTAGATCTTTTGCAAACCTATTGATTACACGCCCAGTTGGATTGGTGTAAAAGAAAAGCATTGGAGCTCTTAGAATAGCATTTAGCATGCCATCATGCAGTCTTCTAGCTGCAGAAGACTTGAAATGATCAACCAATAAGAGTTCGCTAGCGTCACAATCACCTGAATCCATCAAAAGAGTATGTTTTAAAACCATGTAACAATTATGAATATTTTAATCTTTTCTCCTTTTCATTCTATTTTAATTAACTGCAGACACACCTGACCAAACCCAAGAAGTGCATAAATGAGAATATAGTATGTGGGATTATAGGTCTGTGAAGTGCTTTGATCTGTCCAAACACTTAACCAAGTGCTACTTGAAATTCGAAGAACTTCAGTCGATAAGTAGCATGTAAATAGTATCATAAGTACCCAAAGGCCTCCTAATGCATTTTTGTACCTGCATATAAGAATAATATATCAATACAAAAGATATCAGTTGAGTTTAGTATGTGGCTGATCAAAACTACTTAAAATTTTGAAGCAATTGAAGATAAAAAAAACAATGCCCTATGTTACCTCATCAAAACATTCCAACTGCCTATTCCTGTTTCCCGTTCTTCTTGCTTAATAAGAACAGATTTCCCTCCTTTCCCTTTCTTTGTGTTGCATGCATTTTTAGCATACTCCTCCTCAAGCACCCCATTAGCAGTTCGTTTAGAGGCTTCATGGTTAACATTTTTGGTGACATCATTTCCTTCCCAATCTTCTTCCGTTTCTTCCATTTTCCCTGCATTTTCCATCAGATTTTGGAATAGCTGGCCATGTTTGGAAAGCTCCTCAAACGTTCCCTCCTCTTTAATCATACCTTCAGAAACCAGAATAATTCTGTCCACTTGCGGAAGAAAATGTAGTTGGTTTGTAACAAGTATCCTTGTCTTTCCACGCAACTCTTCCTTGATGCAGCTGTTAAAAACCTGGTGACCAACATGCACATCTAGGGCACTTAAAGGGTCATCAAATACATATACATCCGAATTAGAATAGACAGCCCTGGCCATAGAAACTCTCTGCTTTTGCCCACCACTAATATTCACCCCTCTTTCCCCTATCTCTGTGAGGTCACGACCCTGAACAAATGAAGGTAAGATAATTATCTGGGCATTCTGGATTAAGAAAGTAGCTGCTAAGATATAAGTTTGTATGTGCACTTACAGGAAGTAAGTCAAGATCATGCTCCAATGCAGTCACATCAATAGCCTTCCAATATTTTGTGGAATCAAACTCAGACCCAAATAGAATGTTTTCGCGTAACTGAGATGACAATACTGAAGGTCAGAAGTGTGCATAGTGCAAAGAGATAAGTTTGAAATTCGCTAGAAAGCAAAAGAAGATTGAAACAAGTAGACAACTATAGAGTATCAATAGAGCATATATGAAATCTGTAACTTACAGTAGCATTGAAAATCCATGAAACTTGAGGAACATAGGCAACAGTTCCTCTCATAACAACATTTGCATCTGCCAAAGGAGGTAACTCCCCAAGCATTGCTGATATGAGTGAGGTCTTTCCTTCTCCAGTTCCACCAACAATTGCGACTAAGCTGCCAACCAGTATGTCTAAATTGATATCTGATAACGTGGGTTTCTGAGACTGAAAAAAATAAAAGAAAAGAAGAAAATTCAGACGCATGTACGAAAGGAGTAAATTTTGAGTATCCAGAGGACTACTGAAATCATTGAGTACACTAGAACTTCCATAATATCAAAGTAAAAGCATGGTGCCCTGAGTGATATATATTAGGCCTTGTCTCTATTAAGCAAGTTTTGTTGATCGGTTGAGCCAGGGTTTTATGGAGTTCCACATCAACCAAGTATTTTGATCTAATATCTTTTCATGTCTACAGATAAACTTTGATAGAACTTAAATATGTAGAACATGAGGGATATTACTTACTTCTCAGTGTAAAAAATTGATAATTTGATACAAATATTCAATCTTTAACTTGTAATGAATCGTGGTATCATCCGGAAAATACCACAAGTAAAATTATACACTAAAAGCAATCATTACCTGAGCTGCAAAAACATAAGCTGAAAAAACATATTAAACTTATCCTTGTAACTAGAGAAAAAAGGGTGCAGAAGTTTACCTTTGAGTCCCAAGAAAAGAATCCATTTTTAATCGATACAGCAGGAAGCCCTGGTTCAAGTGGTGGATTTGGCACTAGAATTCTCTCTTCAGCTAAAAGTAGTTCCTCTAGACGTTGTAACGATACATTAGCATTTACCACCTGAGAAATTACCATATCTATGTTTGAAAAATGGGAAAGTAAACCAGAGACAATTTGAGTGCTAGTGCAATAATATTGTATTCTTGCAGCCAAGTTAAGAGTGTTGGGTTTCTCCCATCCAAAGTTAAAACAATCTCATGTGATGTTTCTACCTAACTATTGGCAAGAATGTGTTGGTTTCAACAAATAATATAAGACAATATGTAAATGTGAAATAACACACGAAGTGCGGGTGTACAAGAGGCGTGGGAAGAAGCACCAGGAGATCAATAGTGTTAAAAGAAGCAACTAAAGTGTGAATTGAAGGTAGTGGGACAGGTGGCGAAAGATTACTGGGGGAGGGATAAATTCTGTTAGGAGAAGAAATGAATAAAGGGAGCAGCAGAGGAGTAAATAGGCATCGAGAGAGAAGTTAGGAAAAGGGGAGGTAGCTGGCCCTCGAAGTCCAGCATATCTGTTTCTATTATATTCTATTATTGGTTTCTCTTATTTTCATTGTTGGTTAATTAAATCCGATAGATCTTATATTTGAGATACTATCTAGATTGGTGTAATACTGAGTTATCAATGAAATACACCTCTTCTGTTATTCTAGAATTCTCGAGGTTGCAATGAATTGCTGTTTGTTTCTGTTATGAGCTATTGTGTGTGTGACTGACTAAGAAGTCTGGGTAGGTTCGCAACAAATTGGTATCAGAGCAGGTGTGTGTGGGTTATGGTAGCAACAAGAATTGAATCTAGGCTTGAAAATGTGGAACGGGAGGTGACAAAATTGGGCGTGGATATGGGGACGATTCGCGAATGCATGGTAGAGATACAGAGTTGGATGAGGAGAAAGGATGAAGAAGAAGCTGGACGTGGGGAACAGAATTCATCCAGAAACGTGAGAAATCAGGAAGGAGAAAATCAAAACAGAGCAAGTGGATCAGGCAGTTTGGGACAAAGTCAGAGTGAGTTGGGAGGAAGGAAACTGGAATTACCCATTTTCGTGGGTGAGGATCCTTATGTCAATAGAAGGCCATAAATTATGCCATAAATGCTGCATTGTTAATAGCTATTAATCTAGGCTGTATATACTCTCATTAATAGGAGAGGAGATTTAGCTTACCATGTTTAGCTTCCTAAAATCACTCTAGATTAGCATGTACAGATTTAAGTTTCCTTGTATAACTGGCAGTCTTGCCTATATAATGAAAGATCTTCTGAAAAGAAAGATAATTCAAACCATTTTGTTATGGATCAGAGCCATTCTCTAAGAAATCTCAGTCCTAGTTTTCTCAGCCATAGCCTTAGTATTTTGGAGAAGTCAGATAATGTTTGTGTCAGATTCACTGGCAAAAATTATGCTGCTTGGAGTTTCAATTGGAGACCTTTCTCAAGGGTAAACGCTGTGGGGACATAAGATGGCAGCAGCAACGGGGGATCTACTGCAGAAATGTCTGTGGCTGACAAGGCAGCTTGGGATGCCAAAGATAATCAAATCATGTCCTGGATTCTTGGGTCTATGGAGCCACATCTGATTCTTTCTCTGCGTCCTCATAGGTTTGCAAAGGCTATGTGGAATTATCTCAAGCAAGTCTAAAACAAGACAACAATGCTAGGCGCTTCCGCAGTTGAGTTGGCCATTGAACATACTCAAGGGGATCTATCAGTTCAAGACTACTACTCTGGTTTTCTGACGTTGTGGAATGACTATTCCGACCTTGTTACAACCAAGGTTCTGCAGAAGGATTGGAGGCAGTACAACTTGTACACAAACCAGCCAAAAAGACCAATTTCTAATGAAATTAGGCCTGATTTTGAATCTTCGTGCCTCTCTAGTTAATAGGATACTGTTCCAACTTTGGAGGCCTGTTTTGGAGAACTCTTGCGTGAGGAACAACGCCTCAATACTCAGAATATTATGGAGCAGTCTCGTGTTGCTTCTAATACGTCTCTGTTGCCTATGCTGCTCATGGCAAGGGGAAGGGTCGTGACATGAGCACCACACAGTGCTATAGTTGCAAGAAATATGGCCATATTGCTCCTAACTGTCCTCAGAAATTTTGTAATACTGCAAGCAGCCAGGGCACATTATTAAGGACTGTACTATTCGTCCTTCACGCTCAACAAGGTCTATCATGCTGTTGTTACTGGTGACTTACAGCCAGCTCTGCCTGCTGCTACTGCTGCCACGTCTGCTGTTGCTTTACAGCCTCCACACCTTTTCTAACTAGAGAAACAGTGCAAGAAATGATTGTGAGTGCATTTCAGCATGGGTCTTCAAGGTACTGGTTCTTCCTCTCCCTCTTGGATCTTAGACTCAGGTGCTTCTAATCATATGACTAATTCTCTCCGGTTTAAGTAATGTCAGAGAATATTGTGGTCTTCACATATTCAAACAGCCAATGGTACTGCTCTACCCATTGTGGCAGTTGGTGATGTATCTTCTTCCTTTAAGGATGTTCTTGTATCACCTAATCTCTCTGTGATTTAGTTTCTGTTGGCCAGCTTGTGGACCAAAATTATGATGTACATTTACTCATGGTGGTTGTGTTGTGCAGGATCAGATGTCAGGGCAGTTGATAGCGAAGGGGCCTAAGCATGGACGTCTCTTTTCTCTACAAATACCTGTTCCACAAGCTTACTCTTTCTCTGTACTATCTTTGCTTTGTAATAAGTCTAGAGTGTCAAATGAAGTCTGGCATAAGCGTCTTGGTCATCCTAATTCTGGATTCTATCTTATTTGTTGAAATCTGGTTTATTGAATAATAAAGAGCACTCATCTTCCACTGTGTTTCCAGATTGTGCAACTTGTAAACTTGGCAAAAGTAAGATTTTACCCTTTCCTTCTGAAGGAAGTAGAGCCACCCACAGTTTTGAGATCATTCATAGTGATGTCTGGGGTATTAGTCCTATTATTTCTCATGCCCAACACAATATTTGTGACATTTATCGATGACTACAGCAGATATACATGGGTGTATTTCTTGCGGCACAAATCAGAAGTTTTTCATATGTTCAAATTGTTCTTAGCTCTTGTTGACACTCAGTTTTCAGCTGCTGTTAAAATTCTTCGGTCCGACTCGGGTGGGGAATATATGTCACATGAGTTCCAATCTTTCTTGCAATCTAAAGGTATTATCTCTCAACGTTCTGTCCATATACTCACAACAAAATGGAGTAGCTGAACGAAAGAATCGTCATCTTTTAGATGTTGTCCGGACAATGCTCATTGAGTCTTCGGTTCCTCCTACCTTTTGGGTAGAAGCACTTACCACAGCAACCTTTCTTATAAATAGACTTCCTTCCCAAGTTTTGGATTCGAGTCTCCATATTTCAGGCTTTATCATCAAAATCCTACCTATACAAATCTTCACTTTTGGGTGTGTATGCTTTATGCATCTTCCTCCACGGACAGAAACAAACTTTTGCCCAATCCATCCGTGTGCTTTGGGATATAGTGTCAACAAAAGGGTTATTTATGCTACGATCCAAACTTAATCGGGTTCGTGTTTCAAGGAATGTGATCTTCTTTGAAAATCAATGGTTTTTTCCTATGTCTTCCTCACTAGAGTCTTCCATTGCTTTCTTGCCTTCTTTGATGACACTTTTAGTGTCCTAGTACTCAGATTGAAGGTTCCAGCAGGCATGGTATACCAGCGGAGACCTCCAGTGCTGCCCCCTTCTGCTCCTGTCTTGCCATCTGCTCCTTTGCGCCGCTCCTCTAGAGTATCGGGTCCTCTGACCGTTATGGATTCCGTCACTTATAACAGGTACTACTACTTCTGCACTGTCTGCCACTCTATCTTCTAGCTATTCCTACTGGTTACTCACAGGCAGTTAAAGAGAAATGCTGGCAGCAGGCCATGCAGGAGGAACTATGTGCTCTTGAGGCTAATAAGACTTGGGAATGTGGGTTGTCCTGCAGGTGTGACTCCACTTGGATGTAGTGGGTCTATTCTATTAAGGTAAGTCTGATGGTAGTTTGGAAAGGTACAAAGCCCGCTTAGTAGCTCTTGGAAATAATCAAGAAAACGGAGTAAATTACGAGGAAACCTTTGCTCCGGTGGCCAAAATGACCACCATTCGACAATTTTGGCTATTGCCGCTTCTCAAAATTGGGGTTTGCACCAAATGGATGTGAAGAACGCCTTTCTTCACGGGGATCTCAAGGAAGATTTTATATGCGTCCTCCTGCAGGTTTACTTTCCACCCCTACTTCAGCAGGGTGCAAGTTGCGTCGCTCCTTGTATGGTCTCAAACAGGCCCCTCGTGCATGGTGAGAAATTTACTTCTACCCTACTCAAGTTTGCTTTTCTCAAAAGCAAGTTGATGCATCTTTGTTTCTTCGCAAAACTGAGTGGTGTTGTCATTCTCTTGGTGTTGTTGACGACATAATCATCACGGGTACTGATTCGGTTCTGATCTCCCAATTAAAGCAGTATTTACAGGCTCTTTTCACATGAAGGATCTGGGATCTCTTACGTTTTTTCTGGTTTAGAAATTACTGCTGGTTCACATGGTATTTTCCGTCACAGCACAAGTATGCCAGGATTTGGTGGCTGCTGCTGGTCTCCAGGACTCTACCCCTCTTGATACTCCCATGGAACTTAATCTCAAGTTGCGCAAAGAAGAGGGTAACTTGTTATCAGACCCTGTAGCCTATCGTACGCTGGTTGGCCGCTTGGTCTATCTTACAATTACTAGACCTGATATTTCCTATGCAGTCAACAAGTAGTCAGTTCATGGCTTCTCCACGACACCTTCATATGGCTGCAGTTCGACGAATCATTCGCTATGTCCATGGACAAGCTTTGCGGGGACTTTCTATCCCTGGTACTCACTTGATCTGTAGATATAGTGATGCTGATTATGCCGGGTGTAGTGACACTCGAGTTCTATTACGGGTTGGTGTATGTTTCTTGGTCCAGCTCTTATTTCTGGAAAAGCAAGAAACAGGACCGGTTTCTAAGTCCTCTACTGAGTCAGAATATAGGGCCATGTCCCAAGCTTGTGCTGAGATACTTGTGCTCCGAGGGCTATTGGGG